ATTCACATTAAGATTTCGTTTTTGTTTTCCTCTGAATTGCTTACAAATATTAACTAATACGAGAACTTTTCATTTTTCCAACTCTAAGCCTAATTAATTGAAGAATCTTTTCCAGAGGACACAAGTAGGAGTCATTTATACTCTAACCACCAAAAAGGAAACATCTAATTTTTCTTAAGAATTACTTGGATGGTACAGAATCTTCTTCAGAAGTTCAGAAAATATCTATCAAAGGAAGAAAATATCTATCAAATATCTATATATGTCATTTTTAAAATTACTACTTCTGGCTATGGAAAAAAAATTCACAATATCTCATAAGGAGAGAATGAGGAATTGACTTAGGAAATATTCTGGGAATACTAAGAAACTGTGATAGTAAATATTTCCTCTAAACAATTCTGTCTCCATTCTTTAGTTCATTTCCTCAAAAATATTTTGCATCAGTTGTCGTTAGGCTTGTATAGATCTAAATTACATTGGTTAATTAAATGAAGTTTAAGTTGTTGTTATGTGCCTTTGAGTCAGACCTGACTCAAAGCGACCCCTCCTTGCGTTATCGAGGCAGTATCACTACGGAAGTAGATTGCCCCATCTTTCTTCCGATGAGTGGCTGGTGGGTTTGAACCGCCAGCCTTCTGGTTAGCAGTCAAGTGCCTTAGGCACTATGCTACCAGAAATTTAAGCATGAAATCTAATTCTACATCCTAGTGTGACTATAGAGGACCTGGGGCTCCTATCAGGAGAAAGGAAAGTTAAAAGCTTTCTGCCTTTATGGCCTATCCAAAAAAGTAGAAAAGAATACTAAACTGCTAACAAGTATTATATCTCACTCTTCATTCTACCTAAGACATTTACAAACTTCTTCTAAATTATAATTACTATTAAAATGTACTAATTAGGATTTAAATAACAACTTGCTTGTTGGTTCTAAGGAATATTTGTGTTGTCATATCAAATGGACAGAGGTTTAAAGCTATTTGTATCCATGTTTATTATGAATACTTGGAAACACTGCAAGTAAATGGAGGACTAAAAGATAAAATAATTCCATTCTTATATTATTCTTTTATCACCTTTCAAATACCTGACACATATTAAGCTCTCAATAAATGTTAGTTATAGTAATTATCATTATTAGTATTATGAATATTATTTACATGTTTCATTTTATAGTATTCATATACATTACCTGGGAATTTATTTGTTTTTTCTAAGGGCAACGTATAGACAAGTTTTCCTTCACTTTCTGCTGATAATTTGGCATCAGGAATGTGCTGTTTCACAAGTGCTGTAATTTTTTCCCGAACGCATATTTCATTCAACTGCAAACTGGTGTTCAAAGGAAAGATATATGTTATTTGACACAGTCTTCAACACCATGAAAAAAAATTACTAGTTTTTATGGGCCAAGGTAAAAATCCATTTAAACTCTAACGTAAGAAATAGGCCATGTGAACATGAAATAAGAGGACAAAAAATGAGATCATATAGACATAGTGGGGGACAGCAAAAAATGAACTAATCGGAAAAACTGTCCAGGTTGGTCAGGGATGGTGCCTAGAGAAGATGAACATTGATCAGGTCCCTAAGGGAGAATAGCTACAGAACAGAGATATCAGGCACGCAAAGCAGCACAGGTCAGGATTATACAACACAAAAATGTTCAAGCGATGTTCAAAGGAAAATTAAATAAGATTGTTGTATTAGACAAGAACAAAGGACTTTGGATAGGTGTGGAAGTAAAACCAGGTTCAGTCAGTATTCAGTTTAGTCATCCAATGCAAATGTATTGAGTTCTTAAAATGTGACAAGCATTGGACTAAGTGCTGAATGTACAATGGTAAACAACTGTCTTGTTCTATAGAGCCGACTGATTGTTTAGTGGAGGGACAGGCAGAAAACAAGTAGACAGACAGACACCGATCAAGAGTTAGAAGTGCAATGAAGAAAACAAGACTATGAGAGAGAGAAACAGAATACGAGATGGCTAAACACTGGCATTCAGTGGTAGGATGACTTCTTTCCCTTTCTTTGTAGTATTAGCAAAAGAACTTTGAATAAGAACAGAATATCATTAGATAAATCCGTCTATCCATTCAAAAACACCACAGATAAATTTCCCATTTAGGAAAACATTCAAAAAGTCCTATAAAATCAATCTATGAATCAACATTATAAATATATAGTACATAAAATAAAGGTAGTAATCTGGCCTCAAAAAGTGGTTTTGCCATTTGAAATGTGTTATTTCACATATCTAAACAGTGTCCTCACTGGTAAAATGGAATAGTGACACTAGAATATAAAAAAAAACTCACTGCTGTCGACTTGGATCCGACTCATAGCGACCCCTCCTTGGGTTTCCAAGCAGTATCACTACAGAAATAGATTGCCCAGTCTTCTGAGGAGTGCTTGGTGGGTTTGAACTGCCAGCCTTCTGGTTAGCAGTCAAATGCCTTAGGCACTATGCCACCAAAGCTCCTACTAGAATATAGACATGTTCTAAGAACTGAATAATTGTGAGATTTGCACTTAGCAAGGTCTCAAAACAATTGTTATTTGCCTAATGCTTAAGTCAAAATTATTCCATTTGTTCATAAGGTATGCATGAACTTACAAGAATTTATGCCATCCTTAGAACAAGTGAAATCCACTGAGGGAATGAAACAAAAAATATCTTAAATGTTCTCCCAGAGGCCACCATAAAATACAAAATCAATTCAAGAAATGTTTCATGCCCACTTACAGGACTTGTGCTGGGCTGCAGAAGGCTGCATTAACAGGACCCAGTTTAAGCTCCTGCATACAGCTCACAGTTTAGAGAGGTTTGCTGTCTGTAAACAGCCAGATAGTAAATAGTTTAGGCTGTGTGGCCCAGTAGGTCTCTGTTGCAATTTCTCAACTCTGCCACTATAATATAAAAGGAGTCATGTTGTTGTTGTTGTTATGTGCTGTTGAGTTGGACTCGACTCATAGCGACCCCTCCTTGGGTTTCTGAGGTGGTATCACTACGGAAGTAGATTGCCCCATCTTCCTTCCGAGGAGTAGCTGGTGGGTTTGAACAGCCAGCCTTCTTGTTAGCAGTCAAGTGCCTTAGGCACTACGCTACCAGATCTCCCTTAGAGTCATAGACAATATGTAAATAAATAACCATGCTCTGGTGGCTTAGTGCCTAACTCATTTGACTGCTAACCAGAAGGCTGGTGGTTCAAACCCACTATCCACTCCTCAGAAGGAAGACTGGGCAATCTACTTTCGTAGCGATACCACTTGGAAACCCAAGGAGGGGTTGCTATAAGTCAGAACAGACTCAATGGCAGTAGGTTTGGCTTTGTGTGTGTGTGTGTGTGTTCTAATAAAAATTTATTTACAAAAACAGGAAGTAGACCAGATTTGCCATGTGGGCCATAGTTTTCTGACTTCTGGGTTAGAAGAAAAATCAAAGCAAACACACAAATTACTATCCAGGAGCCAATGAAGAGGCTTAGGAATTGGCCAGGGATCCTGACAACTATTGTTTTTGTTTGTGTTTTGATAACATGTTATGTTGCACTATGGTAGCCATCATCCCATTTATTTTTCTATAACACTTACTTGCAACTAGAAATTACTATACCCATATTACAAGTCATTCTGATCATTTCCAAGAAAAAAAAAAAAAAAATCCAATGAAATCCTTTAGAAAATCAGGGAATTGGGAGCTTGCCCCTAGCTGGAATATTGCTATTATCTACAGCATGAGATAACACTCACAATTACTCTTTAGGACTTACACAGGTAGGCACTAGTCCAAGGAAACTGTGCTAGCCTAAAAGTACCTCAAACAAAGGCCAAATGCAGACCACGATGGGGCATTAGCTGGAGAGGCATTAGCTGGAGAGTGCTGAATTGGGTAAGAGCAATGAGACAGGAGTGGAGATAGGTTGGGCTACTCTCGCATTCCGCACTCTGTGTGTAAGCAGTTTGGACTCTGGTAGGTATAAAAGAACCACTAGAGTTGTCTGTTTGTTTTTGTTGTTGTTGTCATCATGTTTTCTTTTTTAAGTATGGATGATATAAATCAGAGCTATCCTTCAGGGAAATGAACCAATCATATATAAATTAACAAGGATTTTAAAACATGGATTTAGATACTAGACTTTGAATTAAAAATATCTTGACTCATTTCTTGGTCCTACTACTTATTAATCTGTTGTTGTTGTTGTTATTTGCCATCGAGTCAGCCCCGACTCCTAGCGACACCTCCTTGGGTTTCCGAGGCAGTTATCACTATGGAAGTAGGATTGCCCAACCTTCCTTCCGAGGAGTGGCTGGTGGGTTTGAACCGCCAGCCTCCTGGTTAGCAGTCAAGTGCCTTATTAATCTAGGGAGCTTATATTTTTATTTGTAGAGTAAGAGTAACAAAATTTCCTATCTCCAAAAAAAAAAAAAAAAGTATTTAAATAAAATAATGCTGAATATCGCATCTTAGAATTATTTAATAAACAATAGAATAAACTATCATTCAAAATAATGATAATAAAATGATGAGGATAGAAAGGAGAGGAAGAACAAGAAAGAAGAAGAGGTTCTAGGTGAGGAGTGGAAGTACTATGTGTCAATGCTTAGAAATTTCTCCTACCTTCTCATCATACACACACACACACACACACACATATATATATACACACACACATAACACATACATATATACATATATATACATGTGTGTATTATATATATATAAAACTATATATATATATATATATATATAATATATATATATATACACATATACATATAATACACACACACACATGTATACAAACTTCCAGGTATAATAATAAAAGAGTTGCTTTCATGTTGTAAAGTTTTGCTTTAAGCATTTTGTCTTACTCAAGCCCAAACCAAAAACTTACTGCCATCAAGTTAATTCCAACTTATAGTGATCCTACAGCACAGAGTAGAACTTGCCCCATAGGGTTTCCAAAGCTGTAACTATTTAGGGAAGCAGACTGTTTCATCTTTCTCCTGTGGAGCAGGTGAACTGCCAACCTTCTGGTTAGCAGCCAAATGTTTTAACCACTACGCTACTAGGGCTCCTTTACTCAAGCCCAGTTCTTATTTATTCTCAGCTTCCTCAGTGGTCATACCTTAAGTGATACCCAATCCCCCATTTCTTCTTCAGAAACAGAGAAGAGCCTGCACACTTCAGCTTGCCTTTGGAGAGAAACACTTTCCTATCTGAAAAGAAAGACGCAAAGAAGAAAGTGTTAGGAAGTTGCCCGTTCATTTCTGGGAACAGACAGGCGATGGATTGCTTGACTGAACTCTCATTTAGGAGCTTCGACAGTTTCAAACACAGAGCATAATAAGGGCTCGTGGAAATAGACAAAGTTCTGCTCTTTGGTGCAGGGTCCCTAGGGGCAGAATTACCTCGATGGCACACAGTAACAATTCGATTTAGATACCTTCAGTTGTTGTCTTGCCACCCAACCTACCAGGGATGGCAAATTATGTGGATATGTTTTCTAATATAGAGAATCATCACATTATGTGTTTTAAAGAGCATACATTAAAATTATTTGATTTCCAAGTTGATTTACCTCAATTCTGAGTCAAAGTCTATCTCTAAGAATATAGACTTTCACTTACTTTACAATCTTATGCTTCCTGGCAGATCACACCCCTGTGGTACAGATTCTACGGAATACACTCAGTGGACATTCTGAACAGACACAAGTGTTTGGAATACCAATCCATATTTCTCAGACCTCTAAAGTCCTCATCCATACTGAAGGAAACTGACAATTACCAGCCAGGATGTCAGCCTCATCCATGAACTGGGTACTGAAGATGATCACGCGGTCCGACTTCCGCTCCTTCAGAAGGTTCCACACTCGGTGTCTTGAAAAGGGATCCAGTCCAGCAGTTGGCTCATCCAATAGGAAAATCTGCAGAGAGAGAGATATAAAAGGATTTTCCACTTCATGTGAATTTCTTCCAGAAGCAAGAAACAACTAAAAATTATTTACATTTGAAAGATATTGTGGTTAGGATTTTACTCATATTTAATGCTCTGTTATAAATATTTTATGACAGATATTCTTTGCAAATAAAGGGTTTCAATTACTATCAAAAGTTTCATTTTAAAAAAATTTGAATTTCCTGTAAAGTTAGTTTGACTTACCTGAGGATCTCCTAAAATGGTTTGAATTCCCTATAAAGTTAGTTTGATTTACCTGAGGATCCCCTAAAATGGCAATCCCAAAGGTAAGTTTTCTTTTCTGTCCACCACTTAAGTTTTGAACAGGGGCATCCTGGATATTTTTCATTTCCAATTCCAGCAAAACTCTTTCTACCTAACCAAAAGACAACAGTTACATCCTAAGCCAAGGTTTCTTTCTCCCCTCCCTCCCTTCCTCCCTCCCTCCTTCCCTCTCTTTCTCCCTTCTTCTCTCTCTCTCCCCTTCTTTCTTCTGGCTTCTACGGCTCTCACCCTGGCATTAGCTCTCTATTCCTAGCAGGAGGTTTCTAGGTGACCCGGTATCACTTGCTAGAAGATTCTGATGAATTTTCTGATGCTTTTCTCATTCTAACGTAAGTTAGGGTCCACCTGAGGGAATACTGTAAGCTTTTGTGTGAGCTGGAAGTAACTAATTTACAACTACAAGGCTTTAAAGTATAAAGAATAAAAGCATGGATCCTGGAATCAGATTGACTGGGTTGCATGTCACTCCATGTTTACCAGCTGCATGATCTTGGACAAATTACTTACCCTCTCTGAACCTCAGTTTCTACACATGTAGAATGGGGATAATAATAGTACCTCATAAGTTTATGGTGAAGGATAAATGATTTATATGCTTAAAGTTAAGGACAATGCTTGGCACATTGTAAATTATATACAAATATCAGATTGGTTTTAATTGAATGTTCTTGTCCAACATTTATACAATCATTTAACAAACAAACAAAAAACCAAACTCACTGCTGTTGCGTTGGATTCAACTCATAGCGACCCCTCCCTGGGTTTCCTAGGTGGTATCACTATGCAAGTAGATTGCCCAACCTTCCTTCCAATCAGCCTTCTGGTTAGCAGTCAAATGCCTTAGGCATTATGCCACCAGAGCTCCCATACAATCATTTAGGCACAGATAATTTAATGAAAAAAAAAAAATATGAAATTCCATGAAAATAAGATTAATCTTGTTTTGACCAATGTATTCGTCCTAACATATTTATGTACCTCTTTATCCACTTCGTGTGGAAAAATCCCTTTTATTTTAGCAAACAGCCTGAGATTTTCTTTCACAGTGAGGAAGTCAAATTGAACATCAGATTGTGGACAAACTCCAGTGAGCTTGCTGATATTTTCAAAGTCAGTAATTTCTGAAAGTTTGTTATTATAGCAGGTGACTGAACCTATAACAAAGTTTAGAAGTTAATGTCAAGATAATGCTTAAATGAAGATCCTCCTAAATTAGAAAAATATATATATATATATTTATTCATTAAATTTGACTTTGTTTTCAAAAAAACAAACCAAACCAAACTCACTGCCATCGAGTTGACTCGACTCATAGCGACCCCTCCTTGGGTTTCTGAAATGGTATCATTACGGAAGCCATTACCCAATCTTCCTTCTGAGGAGTGCGTGGCAGGTTTGAACTGCCAGCCTTCTGGTTAGCAGTCAAATGCCTTAGGCACTACACCACCAGGGCTCCCTTTGTTTTCAAGTATTATACAACTTAGACATTATGAAGTTCCATTTTATTTATGTGGTCTATTAAAAAAAAATTTCCATTTGTACCAATTTCCATCAATGGGTCATCTCTTTCTCTACCCCTTGTTGGCAGTTCAAACCTACTGGCCACTCCATGGGAGGAAGATGAGGCAATGTCCTTCCATAAAGAGTTACAGCCATGGAAATCCAATGGTGCGGTTCTATTCTATCCTATAGGATTGCTATGAGTCAGATTCGAATTGATGGCAGTGGGTGGTATATTTTGGCTTATCTATATAATTAAGGCACCCATGAATGGTGCAAACCATTAATCTGCTGAGCTGCCAACCAAAAGGCTGAAGGTTCAAGTTCTCCCCAGAGGTGCCTGGAATGAAGGCCTGGTGATCTACTTCAGAAAAAACAGCCGCTGAGAACCTGATAAAGCACAATTGTTCTTTGACAAACGTGGGATCTCCATCAGTGGCAGCTGGTTTGGTTGTTGTATCTTATATAACAGTGGGATCTGAGCAAACCTGATACAAACAGAGGCTGGTGAAGAGCTACCACACTGGGGTCTGCCTCTCATGCTGCCAAGGACACGGTGAGCACTGGGTGAAGAATCCCAGGCCAATCTCCTCAAAGATGAAAGTCCACATGAACAGAAAGATGATGCTATCCCAGCTCAACCCCCACACACGTGAGTGACGCCTTGCTAAACGATCCAGTCCCAGCTACTTCCATCCAGAACAGAAAGACGCACCAGTCAATCCCAAAAATTGTGAGAAATGATAAAGCATTTTTGTTTTAAGCCATTAAGTGTTTTTAGCAAAAGCTAACTGATACCAGTTGGAATACCATCCTCCACAGTTGATTCTGACTCATGGCGACCCCAAGGGAGTCAAAGTAGAACTGCTTTATAGAGTTTTCATGGCTATGACCTTTCAGAAACAGATTACCAGGCCTTTCTTCCGTGATACTTCTGGCTGGGTTGGAACTACTTACCTGTCAGTTAGTAGTTGAATGCTTAACCATTTGTACCACCCAGGGACTCCTAAATGGCAAGTAATGACCAGGAAAATAATGATCATTAACTACTCAGATTCCATACATATTAATTAAATATTATATGCTTCTATAGGGAGCTCTGGTGGTGTAGTGCCTAAGGCACTTGACTGCTAACCAGAAGGCTGGCGGTTCAAACCCATCAGCCACTCC